ATTAGGCTTGGTGCCTTCTCATCGTCCTTGTCAGGGCTCGGCGCCTTCTCAACATCTTTGACTAGGCTTGGCGCCTTCTCATCGTCTTTGAAAGAGCTCGGCGCCTTCTCATCTTTTTTAATAGGACTTGGCGCCTTCTCATCTTCTTTGATTGGGCTTGGTGCCTTCTCAACGTGTTCGACAGGGCTTGGCGCCTTCTCGTCATCTGTGATTGGGCTTGGTGCCTTCTCAACGTCCTGGACAGGGCTCGGCACCTTCTCATCTTGTTTAATAGTACTTGGCGCCTTCTTAACGTCTTTGATAGGGCTTGGCGCCTTCTCATCGTCCTTGAGAGGGCTGGGCACCTTCTCGTCATCTTTGATTGGGCTTGGTGCCTTCTCAACGTCCTTGACTAAGCTCGGTGCCTTCTCTTCGTCCTTGACAGGGCTTGGCACTTTTTCATCATCTTTGACAGGGCTTGGTGCCTTCTCATCGTCCTTGACAGGGCTTGGTGCCTTCTCATCTTTTTTAATAGGACTTGGCGCCTTCTCATCTTCTTTGATTGGGATTGGTGCCTTCTCAACGTGTTTGACAGGGCTTGGCGCCTTCTCGTCATCTGTGACTGGGCTTGGTGCCTTCTCAACGTCCTGGACAGGGCTCGGCACCTTCTCATCTTGTTTAATGGTACTTGGCGCCTTTTTAACGTCTTTGATAGGGCTTGGCGCCTTCTCATCGTCCTTGAGAGGGCTGGGCACCTTCTCGTCATCTTTGATTGGGCTTGGTGCCTTCTCATCGTCCTTGACTAAGCTCGGTGCCTTCTCGTCGTCCTTGACAGGGCTTGGCACTTTTTCATCATCTTTGACAGGGCTTGGTGCCTTCTCATCGTCCTTGACAGGGCTCGGCGCCTTCTCGACATCTTTGATTGGGCTTGGCGCCTTCTCATCTTCTTTGATTGGGCTTGGTGCCTTCTCAACATCTTTGATTAGGCTTGGTGTCTTCTCAACGTCCTTGACGGGGCTTGGCGCCTTCTTATCATCTTTGATTGGGCTTTGCGCCTTCTCATCTTCTTTGATAGGGCTTGGCGTCCTCTCAACTTCTTTGATTGGGCTTGGCGCCTTCTTATCGTCTTCGACAGGGCTCGGCGCCTTCTGATCACCTGTGATGTGGATTGGTTCTTTCTCAACAACTTCGAATGGACTTGGCACCTTCTCTTCTTCTTTGGTTGGGCTTGGCGCCTTCTCGTCTTCTGTGATTAGGCTTGGTGCCAACTCGTCCTTGATAGGGCTTGGTACCTTCTCAACTTCTTTGATTGGGCTTGGTGCCTTCTTATCGTCCTTGAGAGGGCTCAACGCCTTCTCGCTAAGTTTAACAGGACTCGGGGCCTTCTGATCATCTGTGATGTGCACTAGTTCTTTCTCAACAACTTCGATTGGGCATGGCGCCTTCTCGTCTTGTTTGATTGGGCTTGGCTGCCTCCCGCCTTCTTTGATTGGGCTTGGTGCCTTCCCATCGTCCTTGACAGGGCTTGGCGCCTTCTCAACTTCTCTTATTAGGCTTGGTGCCAACTCGTCCTTGGCAGGGCTTGGTGCCTTCTCATCTTCTTTGATTGAGCTAGGTGCATTCTTATCGTCCTCGACAGGGCTCAACGCCTTCTCGCTAGGACTCGGTGCCTTCTGATCACCTGTGATGTGCATTGGTTCTTTGTCAACAACTTCGATAGGACTTGGCGTCGTCTCGTCGTCCTTGACAAGGCTCGTGGCCTTCTCGCTAACCTTAATAGGACTAGGTGCCTTCTGATCACCTATGATGTGCATTGGCTCCTTCTCAACAACTTCGATTGGGCTTGGCTCTTTGTCGCATTTTTTTATTGAGCTTGGTGCCTTCTCATCGTCCTTGACAGGACTTGGCACCTTCTCATGTTCTTTGATTCGAATTGGTGCCTTCTCAACGTCCTTGACAGAGCTCGGCGCCTTCTCGCCAACCTTTATAGGAGTTGGTGTCTTCTGATCATCTGTGACGTGCATTGGTTCTTTGTCAACAACTTCGATTGATCTTGGCTCCTTCTCATCTTCTTTGATTGGGCTTGGCGCCTTCTCAACTTCTTCGAACAGGCTTGGCGCCCTCATATCATGTTTAACAGGTCTCGGTGCCTTCTCGCCAACCTTGACAGGACTCGGTCCCTTCTGATCCTCTGTGATGTGAACTGGTTCTTTCTCAACAACTTCGATTGGGCTTGGCGCCTTCTCGTCTTCTTTGATTGGTATTGGTTCTTTCTCATCGTCCTTGACAGGGCTCGGCGCCTTCTTGCTAACCTTAATAGGACTCCCAACCTTAATAGGTGCCTTCTGATCACCTGTGATGTGCATTGGTTCTTTCTCAACAACTTCGATTGGGCTTGCTGCCTTCTCATCGTCCTTGACAGGTCTCGGCACCTTCTCTCCGACCTTAATAGGACTCGGTCCCTTCTGATCCTCTGGGATGTGCATTGGTTCTATCTCATCAACTTCGATTGGGCTTAGCGCCTTTTCGTCTTCTTTGATTGGGCTTGGCGCCTTCTCATCTTGTTTAATGGGTATTGGGATGCTCTTATCGTCCTTGACAGGACTCGTTTCCTTCAGATCATCTTTGATTGGCACCGGTTCCTTCTCTTTAATTTCGGTAGAACTTGGTATTATCTGTTCAAGTTGACTAGATACTGTTGTTTTTGTACTGCTGATCAGCTGTCGTTCCATATCCAAAAACGTCGAAACCAGGTCTTTATGTGTAATTACGTCCTCTGAAGTAGTGGTTGTTACGGCACTTGTAAAACTACTTTCAACCAATTTCTTCATTGTACTCTCTTCTTCTGTTTGATCAAATGACTGAATTTTGATGTCATCAAGGTGAGTTAACCTTGTTACTTTCTCATCAAGATCTATTGGTTTTGGAGCTTTCTCAACTTCTTCCGTAAGGCTTGTTGCCTTCTGATGATCTTTGATAGGAACTGACACCTTCTCACCCTCTTTGATAGGCATTGGCTCTTTCTTAAGAGTTTCGATTAGGGTTGGCGTCTTTTGTTCTTCTTCAATAGGGCTTGGCACCTTCTCGTCTTTTTTGATTAGGCTCGGCGCCTTCTCGACATCTTTGATTGGGCTTGGTGCCTTCTGATCACCCGTGATGTGCATTGGTTCTTCCTCAACAACTTCGATTGGGCTAGGTGCCTTCTCGACTTCTTTGATTAAGCTTGGTGCCAACCCGTCCTTGACAGGGCTCACCGCCTTTTCGATAACCTTAATATGACTCGCTGCCTTCTGATCACCTATGATGTGCATCGGTTCTTTCTCAACAACTTTTATTGCGCTTAGTGCCTTTTCATCGTCCTTGACAGGGCTCAGAGCCTTCTCGCTTATCTTAATGGGACTCTGTGCCTTTTGATCACCTGTGATGTGCTTTGGTTCTTTTTCAACAGCTTTGATTGGGCTTGGCACCTTTTCGCCATCTTTGATTGGGCTTGGGGCCTTTTCGCCTTCTTTGATTGGGCTTGGGGCCTTCTCATCATCCTTAGCAGGGCTCGGCGCCATCTTATCCCCTTTGATTGGGCTTCGTGCCTTTTCATCGTCCCTAACAGGGCTCGGCGCCTTCTCATCTTCTTTGATTGAGCTTGGTGCCTTTTCATCGTCCTTGACAGGGCTCAGCACTTTTTCGCCAATCTTTGCAGGAGTCAGTCCCTTCTGATCACTTGTGATGTGCATTGGTTCTTTCTGAACAACTTCGATTTTGCTTGGTGCCTTCTCATTGTCCTTGACAGGGCTCGGCGCCTTCTCAACTTCTTTGATTGGGCATGGTGCCTTCTCATCGTCTATGCCAAAGCTAGGCGCCTTCTCGTCAACCTTAAGAGGACTCGGTGCCTTCTGATCACCTGTGATGTGCATTGGTTCTTTCTCAACAACTTCGATAGGGCTTAGCGCCTTTTCGTCTTCTTTGATTGGGCTTCGTGCCTTCTCATCGTCTTTGATTGAGCTTGGTGCCTTCTCATGTTCCTTGACAGGGCTCAGCACTTTCTCGCCAATCTTTATAGGAGTCAGTCCCTTCTGATCACTTGTGATGTGCATTGGTTCTTTCTTAACAACTTCGATTTTGCTTGGTGCCTTCTCATCGTCCTTGACAGGGCTCGGCGCCTTTTCGTCTTCCTTGATTGGGCTTGGCGCCTTCTCATCTTGTTTAATGGGTATTGGGATGCTCTTATCGTCCTTGATAGGACTCGTTTCCTTCAGATCATCTTTGATTGGCACCGGTTCCTTCTCTTTAATTTCGGTATAGCTTGCTATTATCTGTTCAAGTTGACTAGATGGGGTTGTTTTTGTACTACTGATCAGCTGTCGTTCCATATCCAAAAACGTCGAAACCAGGTCTTTATGTGTAATTACGTCCTCTGAAGTAGTGGTTGTTACGGCACTTGTAAAACTACTTTCAACCAATTTCTTCATTGTACTTTCTTCTTCTGTTTGATCAAATGACAGAGTTTTGATGTTATCAAGGTGAGTTAAGCTTGTTACTTTCTCATCAAGATCTATTGGTTTTGGAGCTTTCTCAACTTCTTCCGTAAGGCTTGTTGCCTTCTGATGATCTTTGATAGGAACTGACACCTTCTCACCCTCTTTGATAGGCATTGGCTCTTTCTTAAGAGTTTCGATTAGGGTTGGCGTCTTTTGTTCTTCTTCAATAGGGCTTGGCACCTTCTCGTCTTTTTTGATTAGGCTCGGCGCCTTTTCGACATCTTTGATTGGGCTTGGTGCCTTCTGATCACCTGTGATGTGCATTGGTTCTTCCTCAACAACTTCGATTGGGCTAGGTGCCTTCTCGTCGTCCTTGACGGGGCTTGGCGCCTTCTCGACATCTTTGATTGGGCTTGGTGCCTTCTCAACGTGTTTGACAGGGCTTGGCGCCTTCTCGTCATCTTTGATTGTACTTGGTGCCTTCTCATCGTCCTTGACAGGGCTCAGCGCCTTATCGTCATCTTTGATTGGTGCCTTCTTAACGACCTTGACAGGGCTTGGCGCTTTTTCATCATCTTTGATTGGGCTTGGTGCCTTCTCGTCGTCCTTGACAGGGCTCGGCGCCTTCTCTTCTTGTTTAATAGGACTTGGTGCCTTCTCATCTTCTTTGATTGGGCTTGGCACTTTTTCATCATCTTTGATTGGGCTTGGTGCCTTTTCATCGTCCTTGACAGGGCTGAGAGCCTTCTCACCAACTTTAAGGGGACTCGGTGCCTTTTGATCACCTGTGATGTGCATTGGTTCTTTCTCAACAACTTCGATAGAGCTTAGCGCCCTTTCGTCTTCCTTGATTGGGCTTGGCGCTTTCTCATCTTGTTCAATGGGTATTGGGATGCTCTTATCGTCCTTGATAGGACTCGTTTCCTTCAGATCATCTTTGATTGGCACCGGTTTCTTCTCTTTAATTTCGGTATAGCTTGGTATTATCTGTTCAAGTTGACTAGATGGGGTTGTTTTTGTACTGCTGATCTGTTGTCGTTCCATATCCAAAAACGTCGAAACCAGGTCTTTATGTGTAATTACGTCCTCTGAAGTAGTGGTTGTTACGGCACTTGTAAAACTACTTTCAACCAATTTCTTCATTGTACTTTCTTCTTCTGTTTGATCAAATGACAGAGTTTTGATGTCATCAAGGTGAGTTAAGCTTGTTACTTTTTCATCAAGATCTATTGGTTTTGGAGCTTTCTCAACTTCTTCGGTAAGACTTGTTGCCTTCCGATCATCTTTGGTAGGAACTGACACCTTCTCATCCTCTTTGATGGGCATATCGTCTTTCTCAAGAGTTTCGAATGGGCTTGACGCCTTTTTTTCGTCTTCGATTAGAGCTGGTCTCTTTTCAGCGTCTTTGATAGGGCTTGGCGCTTTGGTGCTATCTTTGATAGAAACTGCTACCTGTTCGTCATCTTTGAAAGCGCTTGGCGCCTTCTCGTCATCCTTTGTAAAACTCGGTGACTTCTCGTCACCTTTGATAGCAATTGGTACCTTTTCATCATCTTTTCTTGGGCTCGACACCTTCTCGTCTTCATTGATGGATATTGGAGTGGTCTCCATATCTTTAGCAGAGCTTGGTACCTTCCCATCTTCCTTGATAGGGCTTGGCGCCTTCTTGTCTTCTTTGATAGGACTTGGCGCCTTCTCGTCTTTTTTGATTGGGCTAGGCGCCTTCTCATCGTCTTTGACAGGGCTCAGCACCTTCTCGCCAACCTTAATAGGACTCGGTGCCTTCTGATCACCTGTGATGTGCATTGGCTCTTTCTCAGCATCTTCGATTGGGCTTGACGCCTTTTCTTCATCTTTGATAGCAACTGGCGCCTTTTCATCATCTGTGATTGGGCTCAGCGCCTTTTCTACATCTATGATAGGAACTGGTTTCTTCTCTTCATTTTTGATTGAGCTTGGCGCCTTCTCTTCAATCTTTATAGGACTTGGTGCCTTCTCATCGTCTTTGATAAGGTTTGGTACCTTGGTGTCATCTTTGATAGAAATTGGTACTTTTTCAAATTCTTTGATTGAGCTCGGCACCTTCTCACCCTCTTTAATGGACATTGGTGTGCCCTCATCATCTTTGTTAGGGCTTGGTGTCTTCATGCCAGGCTTGACTGAGCTTATTGCCTTTTTATCTAAGTGGCTTTCCGTTTTGTCATCTACCACGATTGTACCTAACTGAGACGCGTCGAATTCTTGAATATCAGTATCAACTATCTGTTGGGATTCTTTGATTTTAGTTAAAACGATTATTTTAGCAGCTTTTTCCTCTTTGGCTTCTGCTTTAGGTGTTGGCATTTCCTCTCTGCTTTTTAGATTTGCTAGCTTTTCGTCTAGCTTTTCTAAAGTCTTGGCAGATTGTAAAGTTGTGCTAAGTTTTGACTGTGACTCCATTATCTCTAGATCACTATCAAATTTGTCTTGTTTGTTTTCAATCTGAACCAATTCGTTACCTACTTGATTTTTCAACATATCTTGTGGTTTTTCAATTATTTTTTCTGTTTCTTCTAACAAGAATTCCTTTTTCATTGTAGTTTTGGTTTTATCATCCTTTACCTTCTCTAATAGTAAAGGTGAATCATTTTTCACTTTGTTTGTTTCGCTGAAAACAGTTTTATCTGAAACATCACTTACTTCTTCAGATGTTAAAGACCTTATAGGTGATACTTCTTTACATGCTATATCAGGACTTATTTCACTGGTTGTTTCAATTTTCGATTTTTTTATTTCCTGTATCAAATTATTTGTTACTTGTTTTTCAGACGACAAAAGCATTTCTGTCATTGTTTCAGTATTAGCTATCGTTTCATCAATTTTATAGTGGACCTCCGGTGATTTCCTGATCATTGTTGGGGATTTTCCAGCCATGATTTCTTCGAGACTTTTTTCCGATTTTAAAACCTCAGCGACGTCAGCTACAATTTTNGATTTTTTTATTTCCTGTATCAAATTATTTGTTACTTGTTTTTCAGACGACAAAAGCATTTCTGTCATTGTTTCAGTATTAGCTATCGTTTCATCAATTTTATAGTGGACCTCCGGTGATTTCCTGATCATTGTTGGGGATTTTCCAGCCATGATTTCTTCGAGACTTTTTTCCGATTTTAAAACCTCAGCGACGTCAGCTACAATTTTCTCTACATCTTTTGGACTAAGCGGAGGTTTATCAGCCATTTCCAGCTTTTGAGCTTCTTCTATTTCTTTCTCAACATCTTCAGGAATTGATGGTATCTTCTCAGGCATGTGAGGGATTTCTTCAATAACTATAACATCGTCATTTATCGGTGAATCTAGAGTGGTGATATGAGTTTCTCTTAATTTCTCGGTATATTGCCCATACTCATACTCTCCGCTATATTCCTTAACTGGCTGAAGATCTTTACTAGGTGTTAAAGACAGTTTCATCTGTTGGTATATTGGTGAGTCTGGGGCTGAACCAGGAGTCACAGTTACAATTTCAGCATGCGAGGGTTTTACAACAGTTTTGATTATAACGTCGTCTTCGATTGTTTTCATAACTTTGTAAAGAATTGGAGTATCTTTGTCGGGAATTGGTAGATCTTTTGGAACCTTCGTTTCAGAAACAAATCGCCCGGGCTTTTGTTTGTAAATATCATCTTCGATAGGTGTCTTTTTTTCTTCAAACGTTTGGTAATCTACCTCTTCATGAAGAGGTAGATCTGCCACCTCATCAGGAGTCTTAACGATCTCTCTGATAGGTACTGACTGTACCTCACCTTTCAAGTTCATCTCTTTCGTCAAAGGCTCCGGAATGTTTATTAATGTTTGTGGTGGTACAAATTCCTTTGTTTCTTCTTGTACGTGCTTTTCTTCTACTCGATGATCTTCTTTAATATCGTCAAGTGTGATTCGTTCATCTTCTGGTAAAGTTGGTGCAGTAGTTGCTCCTGATTCAACTGTTGTAGAAATTTTTTCATCGGGATGTGATTCTGGCACCAGCTCGAGTGAGTCCTTAGGCTTAACAGGACCGCTTTTACTATCTGACGTTTTCTTTTCACTGCTAATGTCCTGTTTTTCTTCTACACTGATGGAGTGTTCCTTAGATTCCGCTTGTTTAGCTTCGATTTCTAAATTAATTTCACCTTTAAGATGTTCTTCTTCAGGTTTAGCTACTTGAAGGCCAGATACATCATCTTTTTTCTTTTCTGATTCTTCTTTGTCCTTAAGATGCTTAAGTAGTTCATCTTCTTGTTTATGACTACTTTCACGTTCGATTTCAGGTTCAGAAGGATACTGTGGAACTTCTTCTTTTTCTATAATCAGATATTCTTCTTCAAATTCACCGTCGGCAGTCGTTTCAGTTTTTGTATTATCGAGTAAACAAGTTATCTTTTCGATATCTGATCTCCCAACAAACTCTACTTTCTCCTCAGCCTCACTGTCTCTGTTAAAAACTGCTTCAATTTCTCTCACAATCTCTTGTTCTTCTCTTTCGTCAAACTCTTGTTGTTTGATGTCATCAAGAGACTTAGAGGTTTCTTCGTCGGATTTCTTTGCATCTTTTAGGATATCTTCATAATTTACTCTTTGGAGGCCTTTTAGTTTAGATGAATCAGCTTTAATAGACTTAACCGATTTCGAGGGGCTCTTTATTGCTTTGACCCCTTTAACGGGTGATGCTATTGGTCTTGGTCTCCTTGAAATCGGTTCGCGTTTTGGCTTGGATTCCTTTTTGTCATTAGATTTTTGAGGAGCGTCACGTTTTGGCGAAGCCTGTTTGTATTTAGATTCGGCCACTCTGCGATTACTCGCTTCTTTGGCACTTTTAGCGGGTGTACTACCAGGACTCAATTTTCTAGTCTTCGTTTTAATTTTATCTCTAATAGCAGATTGTGCTGTTGCTATTGTTTTAGTTTCAACTGTCTTTTTAGGCGTAGTCACAGGTGATCGCTTTTCATCCATAGTAATTTTTTTATCTGCTGTCGTACTGGCTGTAGTCTTTTTTTCAATAGTTTTAGTAGTGCGATGACTTATTTTACTTCTACTCGTAGAAGTTGCCATNTTTCTAGTCTTCGTTTTAATTTTATCTCTAATAGCAGATTGTGCTGTTGCTATTGTTTTAGTTTCAACTGTCTTTTTAGGCGTAGTCACAGGTGATCGCTTTTCATCCATAGTAATTTTTTTATCTGCTGTCGTACTGGCTGTAGTCTTTTTTTCAATAGTTTTAGTAGTGCGATGACTTATTTTACTTCTACTCGTAGCAGTTGCCATTTCATTTTTGCTCCTAGTTTCCGTCTTCTTTTTTGTTTCAGTTTTAGCTTTTATTTCGGCATCGGCCTTTTTTATTTCAGTAGCTTTAATTGATGTCTCTTTCACTTCATCGGTTTTATCAGTACGTTTCATTTTTTTATCAACAACCTTTTTGATGTCCTTTTTGATATCTTTCTTTTTGTGTACTTCATCTGTCATCGTGGTTTCGTATTCGGACACCTTTTCATCAATTTTAGTTTCCAGCCTCGCTGTTATAGCGTCATGAAGAACTGATTCTATTTTTTTATCATCGTGTTCGGCTAATTCACTAAGCAGTTTGTTATCTATAATATTTTTAGAATCTGTTTGATCTTTGAGGAGATCTTTGTCTTTTAGTGACTCTATTTCATGTTTTTCTTCTTTCAATTTTTCAGTGATAATATTTCGTTCTTTACCCACCCTTGAAATTATTTTGGAAGTTTTCGTCGCGGTTAGTGTTGAGGCTGTTGATGAAACTGAAGCAGGTGGTAGAAGTGCCGGCGTCATTTGTCTTCCCGTGCACGTCGGATGTTGAAGAAACTCCAAATGCTTTAATTTTTCCAGGCCTTCAAATATTTTATGTTGGGGCGTTGACCCAGGGAACATGATTCTTGTTATGGTATCGTCGGGGTTAGCTGGTCGCCAAACTAATAGAGCGCAAATCGATACCAAGTTTGGTATGGGAAAGTTGAATTGACCAGAAATGTTTGCTCCTTCGAAGAGCTTCTGATCGCTGCCATGCCATTTCTTTAGGAATTCACGAACGTGCTTAGAGTCTTTGGACGGATTCAGGACGTACATGTCGAGGGTACCTGGAACATAATGTACGTGGTAATTCCATTATATCCATGGTCAAAATTCTGGTGCTGGACAAAGTATTATGTGCAGACGGATATTATGCATTCGAGTTTCATTGCTATAACTTCTTAAGGCAACAGGAAGTGTTAAATTGAAAATTGTTAGTTCAAAGAAGGTTTTGGAAGTTACCATGTCCGACTTTGTGGTAAAGATTGATGGGGTCGGGGCTTCTGTAGCATTGTTGGGGCTTCAGGTTGATGTGGCGCAGGTCTGTCATCATGTCCGAGCCCTCCTGGAGCAGGGACACCAGCAAGGGATCCGCGTCCTTGTCACCATCAGGGCTCGTAAGAGCTCGACGTTCCTAAATGAGGAAAGCGTTGATTACAAAACGTGTTTAAAACAAGTCTCATCTAAAATCTAAGCAGTTGCATATCAACTAATCATTGGTGGCTTTATATAATAGATCTAGCTCACCGCACTTTGGTAGATACTCTGACTAAATTGACCGGAGTTTTAGAGGACGGTAGTTAATCTGATATTCAAATATCAAAGCTAATCGTCCATGATCACGTATATTCTAGTCATAGGGACTAACGAATTTGTAAAATGAAAACAAAATTGATTATACAGTTTAGGCAATATTTATTAAAATCAAAATCGTCATGCACGAAAATCTATCGAATTTGTAATGTAAACGAAAACGGATCATTACATCAGATGGTAGTACTCGATAGCCAATTAGCCTTCGAGGTTTACCTTACCATATGTCACAACATTTTTCGTGGTCTCGATTATAAGTATCGATTTTCGACAACGAGACGATTCGATTGCTAAAGTAAGTAAAATTAGATACTATACATTTTTTCTCGATAGCAATATGAATACTTTTACGATAGTCATTCGTCCGTCTGATCGCAAGTGATTACAATTTCTCCCGGACATGGACAATGCAAATAGCAAAGCCGCCAGCTAGCTTTACCGATATTGTTTTTGGCTGATATTAAGATTATAGGTATTTTAAAAGGTTGTTGTTTTCGAGATCAGCTTTCCTTATAAATATTGGGTGTATCTGAAACGTTCTCAGAAGAAAGGTGGAAGAAGATTCCTAACCTGGCAAATACCACATGACGCTTTTGACTACGTGGAGCGCTTGTCAGCTGCCTATTTATGTTTATCTTAGAAAATTAATACTATTTCCAGATTAGTTTATGATTTAATTTACATTTAATTCGACTTTGAGAACAATAGTAGATTCTATAAATTTATTGTAGAATTGGGAAGCCGACAGATAACTCCTAATCCTCTTAATAGTTAGTAACTTCTTAACATCAACTATACGTTTCTTTACGTGTGACATCACTTGAGGCCAAAGTATAAATTTCACGCTAATAAACAACAATTAAATGTAAATTACCGTGACTTTTCGCAAATCGTAGACTCAATTAAAATTCCTTTTATTTATTTATTTATTTATTTATTTATTACACTTCATGTAAAAATTACGTTGGCGGACTTAATGCCTAAGGCATTCTCTATCATTCAACCAAAGGTAAGGACCGCGAGCTCCGCGTAGTGATACGCGGAGTCCCTAAAGAACTCGACATCGACTACATAAAGGAGGATCTGACCGCTCAGGCCCTCCCGATAGTTAGTGTGCACCGGATGCACAGCGGGCGGGGCAAACAGCCCTATAATATGATACTCGTGGCGTTAGAACCCACCCCGGAGGCCAAAAAGAAGATCGCATGTCTCACGACAATTTGCGGCCTATCCGGGATCTCAATCGAAGCCCCCCACAAGCGTGGCACTCCCGGGCAGTGCTACAGATGTCAGCTTTACGGCCACTCGGCTCGTAATTGCCACGCGCGCCCCCGCTGCGTAAAGTGCCTCGGCGACCACGCCACACTAGATTGCTCGCGTGTTAGGGAAACCGCGACCGAACCCCCAAGCTGTGTCCTATGCCTTAAGCAAGGGCACCCCGCGAACTACCGTGGATGTCCTNAAGCCGACAGATAACTCTTAATTCACTAGTGATTTTTGAAAGAACTATTTTGTTTTGTACAAATTTCAGACCATTTTGATTTATCACCGTTTGCGCCGTCACCATGATAACGCACTTCAAAAATTGCACTAGGTACTAAAATATTAAAAATGAATTTCTTAGATCACTTGAAAAGACGACTGTGTTACTGGAATAACATAATCAACTGAATGTAATGAAGAGAAATTGGATAAGTTATTTTATTCTGCTCCACTGAGTACCATAGAACTTAATAATTAAAACTGACTCGGCAGCTTCATTTGATATTGGTCATAAAATAATTTCATGTCCACAATATTTTAATGTTTTTTTTATTGCTTAGATTAGTGGACGAGCTCACAGCCCACCTGGTTATTAAGTGGTTACTGGAGCTCATAGACATCTACAACGTAAATGCGCCATCCTTCTTGAGATATAAGTTCTAAGGTCTCAGTATAGTTACAACAGCTGTCCCACTCTCCAAACCGTAACGCACTACTGCTTCACGGCAGAAATAGGCAGGGTGGTGGTACCTACCCGTGCAGACTCACAGGATGTCCTACCACCAGTGATTTTGTGGTATTAGTTGCTATCCGCCTTGACTTGTCAGGTCGTGTCAATTAATTCATTATATTTAAACGTTTAAAGAGACAACCGCTTCGAGCTAAGAGTTGAAATAACTATCTTATATAAATTAAGTGAAATAAGCTGAGTAATTAATGATCGATTAAAAAAAAAACCTATTCTATAATTAATTGAGACTACATGTGCAATATCGGTAGGCAAATTGTTCAACGAAGTGTATGAAGGTAGAGTTACCACGGCCTTGCAAAGGCGACTACAAGACGCTATTCAACAGCTTCTTATGTCATCGTCTTACATATTATTCTATATGTTCAGTTCAAAACGACCTTAATATAATACTTCCTCATTTTTGGCGCTACCAGAAGCAAATCAAATAAGAAATCCCCAAGCGCCAAAAATTCGCTCATCAATAACCAGTTCTTCCAAACACATTGGTTCTAATGAAGCGGGATTTCGAAATAGGCGACTTAAAGACTGCTTTCTAACTAATAGGCTGCTTTCGCTAAACACTAAACCAGCGAACGTGACAGGTTTTTTTTCATTGCTTAGATGGGTGGACGAGCTCACAGCCCACCTGGTGTTAAGTGGTTACTGAAGCCCATAGACATCTACAACGTAAATGCGCCACTCACCTTGAGATATAAGTTCTAAGGTCTCAAGTATAGTTACAACGGCAGAAATAGACAGGGTGGCGGTAGCTACCCGCGCGGACTCACAAAAGGTGCTACCACCAGTAGCAAACGGTGTTTGGTGTTTGAACGGTGTTTGAATACCAGCATTCCGCCTATGTCAGGGAAGTTCACAAAATATCCTTAACATAAGTTTCTTCCAAACAAACTTCCATTATTTTGTTGGTACATTTTCTCAGTAGGATGGCCGATATCGAAAAGCGACGATTGATACTTCAATTTAACGGCTGTCTGGTGTAAGTGACATGGTCACTACATAAGGGGGTCGGGGGTTCGAATCCCGCCAAGGGAAGATATTTGTATGATAAATATAAATGTGTTTTCCAGGGCTATGGATGTATATTAAATATATGTATGTGTGTATAATAAAAATCTTACATTTATTTCCGTTATCTGGTACCTGTAACACAAGTTCTGTACAAACTTATCACGGGACCAGTTAACGTGGCGTGATCGTTAGTAAATATTTATTTATTTATATATAATTAAATAGCACGTCGCTTGGTTGGCAGTAAGATTTATGACCTCACCTCTAAGTTACAGAAGAAATGTCCGATTTGAGGGTAAACATTAGCAGTGGCCTTCCTGCGCAGCACGGACGACATTCCCGAGGCGGAGCAGTTGTTGAGTCTTGTGAATAGGACCGCGTCGAGGCGATCGAGGTGACGGGCGAAGTCCCACCAGCAAGCCTTGCGGGAGAAACCGCCATCAACTGGAAACGAAGGAGAAAAATATTTATTAAGGTTTTTAGGACCCTAGATCTTTAAGACTCTTTTTTTTTTATTGCCCTTGTAGGCAGACGAGCATACGGCCTACCTGATGGTGACTGGTTACCGTCGCCCATGGACTTCAGCAATGCCAAAATTCGATGGTAGGTATAGCGGCTGACTAAACTATTCAGATCTAAACTGAACTACATACAGTGGTGGATTTGCACTAGGCGGGAAAATTTTGAAAGTAAATCTCTTTTTAGTCTTATCAAGATTGTTCAATATAAGTAATGAATAATTTTCTTTTTAACTGATAATTCAACAAATTCAATTCATCCATTATTTGTGAATTATAATTTTGCAATTTTGGCATTTGAATTATAATTATAATTTGGTATAAATTTATAATCAAAATGATTTAATCAATTTCCTTGGACATTTAAAATAGTAATCGATTTTTCTATTTTCTGGAATTAAAGAAATTTAATTAGTTGTTTTTATATGATATAATATAATTATGAAGTCACCCTTAGGGCAAAGTTTATAATTGTTAGAAAAAAAAAGAATATTTATTTATGTGTTTGGAATATATAACATATTCCGTTTCTGCAATAAATTAATTACTTTAATTTTGAAACATAAAATATACAAACCATAACTTTAGGTATAATTCCAGTATTGAGGCGGATTTTTTCCGGTGCCCAGGAGCGGCATTAAGTTTAAATCCGGCCCTGACTACACACTTAACCAATGGTCACGAATCACTTCCACGAAGATGGAATTACATCGCGTAATAAAAATCTAAATCGCAAAAATTTTAATTTGCGTAATTACTAGTGGCAGGGCTTGTTGCGAGCCCGCACGGATTCACACGTCTAAGCCATAAAAATATTTGTGAACATAATATGTAGTATATACATTAATGTCATATCTGAGTAATGAGTATAATTATTCAATGACAATTATTCAATGAAAATCCCGCTGAGTTCGTTTCGCCTGTTCTCCTCAGGAATGTGGCTTTTTTTGGAACCGGTGGTAGAGTTAACATTTTCATTTATATTTTGACATTCAACAAGTGTGCTATGATGACATCCAAGTTGAAATAAATGATTTTGAATTTGAATTTGAATGAGACACAAATGCTGTATGAGAATCTAGGCAGTCCAGAATAGAATATAATGAAAGTGGCGAACTATGCTCTGCTCTACGAGTATTATTGAGTTGATCGTAGCTAATCTAAGAACTGAGTTCTATGTCGTGATTAATTGTTTAACTCTAAACATGATGAACACAACTTTCTCGACCGGATTTCTGTTGTTCAGCCCACAATGAGTAGCCATGAGCGTGGTAATATTAATGCCTCCTACTTCGGTAGGCAGCGGCTTGGTTCTGCCCCTGGCATTGCTGAAGTCCATAGGCGACGGTAACCACTCACCATCAGGTGGGCCGTATGCTCGTCTGCCTACAAGGGCAATAAAAAAATAAAATAAAAACTCCTAAATACAGATATATACTATACAACTGCTTCTTAAATGTCACACACGTTAAGCTCAATATTCACAAGCTCTGAAAGTTTCAAACACAAATCGGTACTCAAACAAAAAGCTTAAACCGGGCTTGATTGAAAAATAAATCGCACGGGGATTGGTTCGGAAGCTCGCTTCCAAAGTACTCGCTTCCACTACTCTAAATTGAACGAGAATCTTATCAATCGCAAACACTGAAGCTTGGGATTATGAATTTCAATTGATTTTTTATTAACTTAGGCGCTGGCAAATGTTATAGATCATTCAATCAAGATCATCATCATTAGCAGAACTAATTAAAGTCACTTTTACGGTTTAATCTCCGTGACCACGAAAAGCGTAAATTATTCGTGAAGTTAGAAATAATAAAATGAAAATCATAAACTTTTTTTTTATTGCTTAGATGGGTGGACGAGCTCACAGCCCACCTGGTGTTAAGTAGTTACTGGAGCCCATTGACATCTACAACGTAAATGCGCCACCCACCTTGAGATATAAGTTCTAAGTTCTCAGTATAGTTACAACGGCTGCCCCACCCTTCAAACCGAAACGCATTACTGCTTCACGGCAGAAATAGGCAGGGCGATGGTACCTACCCGCGCGTACTCACAAGAGGTCCTACCACCAGTAAAAATGTGTTTAAACATTACATCTACGTAAGCCTAATGTAATAACAAAGTGTAGTTGGTAAAGATCACGTCGCATATCATATCGCATCTTTACAATTGAAGTGCCTTAACTAAAAGTTTTAAGGAAATTCGTTTTATACTTCGAGTGACTTTTATACATGTTTTTCTTTTTTCTTTTTTTTATTGCCCTTTAACGCAGGCGAGTATATGGCCAACCTTATGGTGAGTGGTTACCGTTGCCCATGGACTTCAGCAATGTCAGGAGCAGAGCCAAGCCGCTGCTTACCGTAAAGTACTATCCACAAGCCTCGTTTGAAGAAAGATATGTCATAGCGCTCGGGAGACACCGTGGAGGGGAGCTCATTCCAAAGGCGGATAGTACGTGGCGAAAAAGATCTCTGGAAACGTACTGTGGATGACCGCAGTGGCTCCAGGTTGTATGGATGAACTCTACTCCGGTGGCGGGCGGTGCGATGGTAAAAACGAGATGATGGTATCATCTCACACAATTCCTCAAAGCACTCCTCTCCACACAAAGAATTCTATCAGTTTATAAAATTAAAGTATTTTTTATTCTAGAAAAAAAGTACTCTTTCTGTCTCTTTCAAATAAAGCGCACACCTTAAAGTATTAAAATTTAAAAACAAAAAAATTACAAATTTTCAATTATATTTTTAGAACTTACCAAACAATAAGAATTTTGGATTAAACCAATTCAATTCTGAAGGTGCTTTATATTATTGTATCCTTTTCTGCGGCGTAGGGAAGACGTCTCGATTTTAAATACATTACTGGACTTTTGGAACGCGATGAGAGAATTGTGTGAATTATTTTATTTTATCCGTTTATTATTTCTTCGGGTTTAAACGAGTAATAACGATGGCTTATTAACTGTTTGGCATCTGTAAAATTGCGCAAATATGAGAAAAATAAACAAAATCTCTCATCACATCTCGTTTCGTTTAATTTCAGCCCAATTGATTAATATTTCAAATTAATCAGCCGCAGCTTCACTCTAACGTGTAGGTTAGCTCACGGGGCTCAAACCGGAGTGCTACTAACACTAACCCCAGCAATAGCCGTGCTTCGCAGAATCTACCACCGGATCGGAAACGCGACCCACTGAGAAGATCCGGCGAGATACTCAGTGGGCTGTGTCTATGGGTTAATTCGCTCGTCGAGCACTTCGACGAGGACGGTGACCGGGGAATGTTTATGAGACGCTACATTAGTAGAGCATAGGGATGGCCAGACCTTTCTCAGACTTTACTTACTTACACTCCGCCCACAAACAACGGCTTTGCCAAGAGCTCGTGAGCGTTTTACCGCATTTATAAATTAATTTAGAAGACGCCTCAGTGGCTTTATGAAGCAATCCCCGTTCGCCAATCAATTCACATATCGACACGTGCTAGCCTGCTACAAGTCCACGTCATGTTCGAAGCCATTGTTCACTAATGGAACGTGTATTGTTAATAGAATACTGACATTTATAGGACAATAGCGTAGAGTTGTGACATGTCTTATATCAGTTTACCTGTGGGCGGGATTTCTAATAGAAATGTTTACTATGAAGTAATGATATCTAATAGAAACGCATTACTGCTTTACGGCAAAAATAGGCAGGGTGGTGGTACCTACCCGCGCGGACTCACAAGAGTTCCTACCACCAGTAAGAAATGGCGTTGGATAGGATACACTATAGGACGTAGTGGAGTCAACGTAGCATAGATCTCTTTTGAGTGATGTCAGTTTCTGAACGTCAAAATATCAGTGAGCGACGCCGCCATGACACTCTTTCTCTTTCAAATTCAGCCAACGCATCAATTTTATATTTTTCTTATATGAAGTCTTTCATTTTTCATATAGGGATAAATAAATATCTCAAAACAATAAATACAGTCGACGGTCGATTACCACAACGCAAAAAGTGGTAGCCGCGGGGTAGGAGAAGACCTAGTCGCCATGTACATACTTGGCGACGCACCGTGGATAGTAAGATCAGGACTGCCGACATGACCTGGAGTGATGTTAAGGAGCAAGCACAAGACGGGGTCAAGTGGAGACAGCTTGTGAGCGCCCTATGTACCAGCGGGTCACTCTAGGACTACAACATCCACTGAGTGTTATTTAAAGAAAAATGACATCCTCGTAGAAATACGGAGCGCGCAATTTCTTCTCTTTCAAAATGCGACGTCATTTGAGGCCAAAATAAGCTAGCAAAATGATTCTAAGCTAACCATAGAATAATGGTAGGTTTTATGCCCATTTCGCCAATGGTAACCTGTCTCTGTGAGTGGCTACTAATGCGAATAACTTAATTCCTACACGAAAATACACACATTAGTTACATGATAATTATTATTTTGTTGTGTATTTTTGTTCCTATCTATGCTGATAGCCTAAATTAGCTATATCAGCGTTACCAAACGAGTAGGTGAGCTCACTGGGCTCAAACCTAGCGAAATTGCTAACACTGACCCTAGCAAGGAGCAGTGCTTTACAGAATGTACCATCGGATCGGAAACGTGACCCACTCAGAAGATCTGGCTTGAAACTCAATGGGCTGTGTCTGTGGGTTAGTGTACTCACCGAGCCCTTCGTCGCAAACGACGGGTTCGACGAGAACGATGACCTCGGATGACCTCGTGGATGGGGAGGATCCGAAATGACGTGTTTTGGGCGACGTCGACTGTTTACCATTCTGTCCGCAGGATTGGGAATAGAGTTACCGGCGGCCACGATGAGAGAGGGTTCTCGTGTCGTGCCGCTTTATCGAAATGGCACACTGATGTCGATTGCATACTGATGGAATTGTGTAACAAGTAAATGTAATTAGTATTAAAAATCGTTACGATTAATGAGAGTTTTTAGAGACTTAAAGAAGAATACTGCAATTACTTTTAGTATTCAGGAATAACAGTGTTGGTTATAGATAGTCATTTAAGTCTATGATATAAGATGTTAGCTGTGATTACCTATAATTAAGTGAGCACATGTCATGTTTTGATATTTTTGTACCCTATGTTTAAGCCAGTGTTTCATTTATTGGTGATCCATTAAATAAATAAATAAAAGTCATTTACAAATTCGGTTTATTTATTTTTTCTCGACAATTTATTCAATAAAATATGCAATAAACAACTTAATTGGTGTTTATTATTGATTTTATTTCTTAATTAAAATTAGTTTGCTTAAATTAATTGCTTTTTAAACAGACACAAAAAAGTACAATGTTAATAAATGATTTGAGCCTTTTTAAAACGGAAAAAAGTTTTTTTAATGTTTTTGATATTGTTTATTATAATAAAATATATGAAAATAAAAGATTTGGTTCCAAATTGACGTGAACCTTTTTGCTTCAGGTTACTCGATTCCTTTGTCAATAAAAAAAATACACAGTAATGGTCGATTCTCGGCAAACATCCAACACGTTTACTGGAAAATACGAAAAACAGCGAATCCCCTCGCAGCTATATGAGATTACGGAGGAAATGGCTCGATGTTTGAGTTCCGAGATAAGTAAGGGAATTCTATCCTTCTATTGGGCTATAAATAGCACTGATAAGACGGAACAATATGAATAATGCTGAATGTGGAGGCAAACGAATCTTCTATCTATCAGGGAAAAAAAACATGTGTGCAATTCACACGTGGCACCTTCAAAAATTTTGGCTTCAAGATGACAAATGAAAATTTTTGGGAAGAGGACAATAATAATTGTAGGTTGTAGTAATGATTATAGCGATACAAAGTCTGATAATTATTTTACATATTATTCGTATATATTACATAAATTTATTCAGAATGTATATTAGGTACGAATATTAGGTACGAAGAGAACCACGAATATAAGAAACACTGTAGAATGCTTCCTATCTCATTTTCACCCACGTTAAATCTTATGAATTTATGAGTCTATCTCTTTTTACACGCTGGTGGCTGGGGTGCATAGTGTTATTAGTTATAAATATTTTTCTGACAGATATCAGTAGAAGAATTATTATTTCAATAATATCTTAAAAACACCCCACGCTTTTTTTACAATAAAATAGATTATTTTACGCTAGTTTCAATTTAAATTTATTAAAATTTATTTTCTATTTTTTAGTTGAATTTTATATAAAGCGCGTTTATTGTTTTTTTTTAACTATTATTTATTACTGTCGCTTTTTCGTTTCATCGACTTTCAAATCACAACGATGCTAAAGAAGTTTTCACTTCAAAAACAGGACAACATTAACAAAGAAATGTTAATTTTGTCTCCCCAATTCCAAATTAGGGACTAGGTATTCTGGATACGTTAAGGCCATGCCCTACCGCGGAGTATTCATTATTAACTTGTTTAAAATAGGAAATGTAGCACTCAGGTACCACGCAGAGTCGGAATTACATGTAACTAACTATATAATAATATGTAACCTCTACAAGATTTATGACATAAATCTTAAAAGAGGTTATAATAAGTTATATAGGTGACATCTATATCTATATCTATACTAATATTATAAAGAGGAAAGATTTGTTTGTTTGTTTGTTTCGAATAGGCTCCGAAACTACTGGACCGATTTGAAAAATTCTTTTTCCATTAGAAGCCGACATTGTCCCTGATGAACATAGGCTACTTTTTGAAATTTTTTTTTAATTTTTTTTTTTGGTTTCATTTGTGTTTTAATATTTCCGAAGCGAAGTGAGGGCGGGTCGCTAGTATATGATATTTTGAATATTGAAATATATGAAACATAAAAACTGGTGAAGCAATAGCTTAAATGTTCTTTCTCTAAACAGACCAACTCATTTAGTGTTATAATTTTATTGGGTTAAACTTTCTTTTATGCTCCATAAAATAATAATAATTATTATTATTATTTTTTTTTTCTCTCTTAAAGGTATAGTACAAATTCAAATTGAAATAAATTAACCTTATAATTTATTTTGTAAGCCTTTGAAAGAGCTGAAGTCTGTACTAGGTTCAAAGACCTGTACTCCTGATTACTGAATACATTATATTATTATATAATATACTTAATAATTATTTTCAACTTACCAAGCATATTAAATCCGTTAATGCCGAACAATGCGGCGTCTCCTTGACCCCCCGGGAACACGTACAGCGTCGGGTGGCTGAACCTGATGTTGCCGACCACGTCGCTTGAAACCAGGAGTTGCTCCAAGCTAGCCGGAACCACGTACGGGTTCAGATATGCTGAAATGAAAAATGCGTTACATATTATGCTATAGTTTCAGTTCAAAACGACCTCAATGAAAGACTTCCTCATTTTTACCAGAAGCAAATCAAGTAACAAATCCCCAAGCACCCAAAAATCGTTTACCAAGAAGCGGTTCTTTCAAACACACTGGATCTAATGACGCGCGATTTCGAAATAGGCGACTTAAAGACTAACCGGGTAATAGGCTGCTTTCGCTAAACACTACACCAGCGAACGTGACAGGTTTTTTTTATTGCTTAGATGGGTGGACAAGCTCACAGCCCATCTTTTGTTAAGTGGTTACCGGAGCCCATAGACAACTACAACGTAAATGCCGCCACCCAACTTGAGATGTGAGTTGTAATCTCTTAGTTTTTAAAGTACAACGCTGCCCCATCCTTCGAACCGAAACGCATTACTGCTTGACGGCAGAAATAGGCACGGTGGTGGTACCTACCTGTGCGGACTCACAAGACGTCCTACCACCAGTAAAAATGTCTCTATCATGTCGTCTACATGTTTCGTTTGAAAACTAAGAGTCTTGGGATATTTTTTAAAGAAAAATAGGCGGCAGCTAACACAGCCTTCAAATTTCGATGAATAAATAATAGTCTAGTTATCCGTGATCATTAAAACTGTAAAATATTCGAAACATCGGAAATAATGTAATGACAATACAAAATGCGAAATTAGGCCGTAAAAATATTTTTTATTAGATAAATGTTCGAATTTACATTGGCAATACTGATTTCGTCAGTTCGTTAGGCTCAGCGAATTATACGGACTAGTAGTCTCCCGGTAGGTAGTAAAAATTCAAAAATAATTTAATTAATTGAAATTATACAAGTAAATTTGTACACTATTATGATTCTGTTTTCAAAGCCTATTTATTATACTTCTATAATCACAGATTTCGGCCAGATTTACAAAAAAATACACAGATTAAGACAAACTAGAGGTCCTGCAGTAGTCGAAATTCGATTATAATTAATTGGAATTGTAAGTTTGTACACTATTATGATTGTATTTTATACTTCTATAATCACAAATTTCACCAAGGCTACTCTATAAAAAATATTAATAAAGACAAACAATATTTAATATATTCTCAATTTGACCACCGACGCCAAGAACAAAAGTTTGACAATAAATAGTACGCATGCGTGTGTGCGTCGAATACATGGAATGTAGTGTGTGTAATGTTTTCTTTAATGATTTAATGTATCTTTTATGCATTATTTAAAAAAAATATTAGCATTGTGCACTTCTTCTCTATATTCTCTATAAGTGTGGAAAATTTCATACTCCTCCGTCCGCGCAATTTTCGTAAAAAGTGATACAAAGTTTTTGCTTCACGTATTAATATATAGATATAAATAAAGACAAACAATATTTAATCTATTCTCAAATTGACCACAGAGTATAAGCAATAAGAAAAGTTTGACAATAAACAAATAGTATGCAAGCGTGTTGTGTCAAATACATGATAGTGTATGTAATGTTTTATTTATTTATTTAATGTCTTTTTTAGGCATAATTTAAAAAAAAGTTAACATTCTGCACTTCTTCTCTACATTCTCTATAAGTGAGAGAAATTTCATACTTCTCCGTCCGCGCAATTTTCGTAAAAATGGGTCCAAAGCTTTTGCTTCACGTATTAATTTATAGATAATAAATAAACAATAAAAATCCTGATTACACGGAATCCGAGTTTGATTCCGTCCCGCCTATTTCTGCCGTGAAGCAATAATGCGTTTCGGTTTGAAGGGTGAGGCAGCCGTTGTAACTATACTTGAGACCTTATATCTCAAGGTGGGTGGCGCATTTACGTTGTAAATGTCTATGGGCTCCAGTAACCACTTAACACCAGGTGGGCTGTGAGCTCGTCCACTCGTCTAAGCATTAAAAAAATATCCCCGATATACATAAATGTATTTGGTGAACGAGTTATGAAGACGCTGGTTCTTTTTTCGTATCTTCCCAATATACACGATACAGAAAAGTAGTACAGGAATTTTGGATGTCGAACATTGCTTAACTGTCAATTCCTATAACATCCCAAAGTACCTAAATCTCCACCGGACTGGTCTTATAATCTTTGGAGTTCTGGTTATCGATATTAGACCAGGCTATAAGTGCACGAGCTATGGCTATTGTGTCTCGTACAATATGAGGGCTGGAATCCAAGGAATTTTCAATAAAGGAATTCTGCCTCCCTCCTCAGGATCGAAGATATTTGTTTAGCTTTACAACGACGTATAGACGGGCGCAAACGCCACTACTCGCAATAATTAACATCTTATATATAAAATTCTCGTGTCACATAGTTACTTACCATACTCCTCTGACTGATTTTTATGAAATTTTATATGCATGTTCAGTAGGTCTGAGAATCGGCTACTATCTATTGTTCATACCCCTAAGTGATAAGGGTTATAATGAGACATTATGTGGTTGAATGAGGTTTTGTTATTTTTATATTCCCTCATCCTTCACAGCGCTAATATGTCTCTTTCACTCATTTACCACATCCTTCCACACTTAAATAATTTGGTTTTTTTTTCGACACTAGAAATTCCCTAGAAATTTTATATATGGCAAAACAACGCTTGCCGGGTCAACTAGTAATAATGTATATTTTAGTTTATTCTATGTTATTATTTTTTATTAGCAACATGAAACTGTTATTCTACCATATTTAATATATAGCAGACACTGTTTTGATGTGAAAATGTTCCGAATATGTTTTTATTATTGTTTAAAAACACAAGTGACTGTATAAATAATTAAATATTAAAAAAGCATAAATATTAATAATAATTTATATTATAAGTAACAGTAATAATTTAATTAAGTATTATAATTATTATGCAAATGATGTTGTTGGCGCCATCTATTATTAGCCTGGATAATAATAATGTTAGTTTATATTAGTTAAAAGTAATGAAATTCGGTTGAAAGACAGAGAAAACTATATTGTTACGCATTATTTCTTTCCGGTTTGGATAACGATTTGCTGAAGTAAGCTATCACCATCTGCTGATATTATCTCAAATATTTAATGATTTCGTATTTAATTTTTTATACATAAACTAGCTGACCCGGCAGACTTCGTAGTGCCTCAACCAATAAATAAAAGACCTAAACTTTTGTATAAAATAAACTTAAAACACACAAAAGGAATCCGTCCGACGGGGGACACATCATAACTAGAGAGTCCTAAAGAATTGTAAACAATATTTTTTTCTTTATTGGAATATATGGCACAAACATTGGCTCCAAGAAACTAGACTGGTAGGCAGCGGCTTGGCTCTGCCCCTGGCATTGCTGAAGTCCATGGGCGACGGTAACCACTCACCATCAGGTGGGCCGTATGCCCGTCTGCCTACAAAGGCAATAAAAAAAAAAAAAAAAAAACATCTCAAGAGTAAATAACGTGACCTAGATTACCTAGATACAGCCTGTTTCCCTCAGGTGATCTAATCAAACCTAGATTAGTTCAGCACTAATTACTACCAGGTGCTTGCTACTTGCGTTGGGTAATAAAAACTCTTATAAACATTAGAGACTTTTAGAGAAATTAAATAAGTAATTATATGAGTTTAGTAAATAAATAACTAAAGATTTGAGGCTGACAATACTAATGCTTATGAATGACGGTGACCACTCACCATCAGATAGATCGTATGCAAAGGCCAACACGAGCGATTTCTTGAATTTCTTAAAAACATAACTCCTGAGCATTTAGTTATAGCAATAAAAACTAAATTTAATTTGCTATTGAAAAACAAACATGCGTCATTACATCAGTGATTAAAATTTGTTTTTCCTATCTATACATATAAATAAAATTGGAGTGTCTGTTTCTAATATTGAAATAACCGCTTTTTACTACATGCATATGAATATATATACGGTACATACACCAAAATAACATTTTTTACAATTTTTGTCTGTCTGTCAGTCTGTCTGTCTGTCTGTCTGTTCCGGCTAATCTCTGGAACGGCTGATAGGTAGCTGATCATATAAAGAGTTACTTACGCTATATTTTTTTATCATTTTAGAGCTATCAATAATAAAATTTAATGTTTCCGAAGCGAAGCGAGGGTGGGTCGCTAGTCAATTATAAAATTTGTAGACGACATAAACAGTCTATAATACATAAAACTTCCGACCACGCTAAACGATGTATATTGCGTTATAACTTGTAGAAGCAATTTCAAGTTACGTATGTAGGAGTTTAAATTTGTACGCGGCTACGAACTTAAGGCTTAGTCAAACAGAACGCGTACTTAGCGCGCTTCGGAGCGCTGAACTAACGCCGCGCTATGACGCCGAGATGTGTTGTACTACTATGGTAACATACCGTCAAACAAAGCCCCAGCGCTATAAGTACGCAGCGTTCTGTCGCGGCGCTAGGACGCTTTGACGTGAGGCGTTCTAAATTTTTACAAATTTTATTTTAGCGTCCGAGGTAATAATATGTATTAAAATACTAGATAATGCCCGAAAAAATGATATGAATAGTTAGAAAATACCCATGCATATACAATGCCACATCTGAATCACTCGATTTCGTAATACTTTTAAATTTTCACACTGCTATCCAATGGCAGGCACTATGATTTGGCGAATGCGTTGCGTCAAGGAGCGTTAGACTCATCTAGTCAATTTGTGTGACATGAAAAGAGCGCGACGTTAAGTACGCGGCGCTATGTACGCGTTCTGTTTGACGAAGGCTTTAGCTTTACCCGCAACTCGTCAGGTAATTCAAGATGGTCGCTCTAAATATGATATTGCAGTGCCGCAATTTGTAACAGAGAGCTAGTAGTGATTTCGTGTTGTCGACGTACAACTTAATTAGTTCTAACTTTCTCTCTCTCTAGAGGCTGGGTGAATAATTAGACTAATAGTTCGAACAATACTTAATTTTCAACATTAAAACTAGACTGATTTTTCATTAATCTGTGTTTGCTTTTTTCCCCTCTTAAATCATATCTTGAGCATCGATGTTTGATACAGTTCAGTGTCTTTCTCTTTCCATCGACTTCTGTAGCTTGCTTTTTTTTTTATTGCTTAGATCGGTGGACGAGTTCACAGCCTACAAGTGGTTACTGGAGCCCATAGACATCTACAACGTAAATGCGCCACCCTTGCTTGAGTGTATCTTATCTTTTCGTCGCTTAAGAATTTGTTATATTTTCTTTTTACCCTAATCTTGGTTAGTTAACTAATAGATAAGGTTCAGTTGAAGTTTCAATAATTACCATTAGAATCGGAACGCATGATTGATCCACTGCAGATTTAACCAGAATAATAATAATGGTTTCTACACGGCCGAACTCAACACTCCCTTACACCAATAAAAAGTAACTCAAACTTGTAACTTTAATATAACTGTAACATTCAGAAATGTTATAAAAATATCAGTATTATAAAAAAAACCCTAGAATAACATACACACCCTTAAACTTTTTAATACGAAAAGCACTTCGGCAAAACCGAAGAGCTTTTACACCCTATTATGAGTTCCGAACAATGTGTTCCCGAAACTTTTATTTCGACAGAGCTTAATATAAAGATGTAAGATACGATATAACTAAGCAAAATAAGCTTGGATTATACGTACGCGACGCTTCCGTAATCTATTCTGCCGTAAGCTTTTGAGCTCCAAGTTTTGAGTTAAACGCGATTTGAAATTAATGTTATTTTTTTACAGTTTTAGGAATATTTCTTGGCCTGACGCCTGGATGATTTGAAGTTATACGGAAGTTGAGCCAATATCTACCAAATAATTTCACGACCGGGTCGTTAGGTAAAATATTATCTATTTAGGATTGATAATTTTGTTTTTAAGGTGTAACATTTAGTGTTCCTACACTTATGATGAATGCATGTGTAGATTTTTACTAGATTGTTGAGCAGACCCACAACTCTATCATGCTTTATAAGGAATCCTTATTTTTTTTTAAATTCGTATGACTGAAATTTAGGTTCAAGATATTTCGAAAAAAAAAACTACGGTAAGTATAATAGTAGTAATCAAATAAATTAAAGAAAAGTAATCAGAGAGGCACAAAAGGATACGAAAGTAATGGATGATGCCTATGACGCAATAGGTCACGTTAACTACATTAAATCTGTTAAAAATTTATGTTATAACTAGCGATCCACCCTCGCTTCGCTTCGGAAACATTAAATTTTATTATTGATGATATCTGAGTCCCGCGATGTTACACGCGGTTATTGTCGTACCGCAGGTGACACCGCGGCGATGCTAGTCAAAAAAAGTAGCCTAGGTTACTCCTTATATCATCAGCTACCTATTAGTGAAAGTCTCATCCAAAACGGTCCAGCCGTTCCAGAGATTAGCCGCAACAAACAGACAGACACCAGACAAAAAAAATGTTGGTATATGTACTGTAGTATTTACTTACGCATTTAGTAAAAAGTGGTGATTTTATTATTACAAACAGACACTCCAATTTTATTTATTTGTATAGATAAAAGGTTTTTTGAGTGAAATATTCTAGTTCGTTCTATCGCTTCTCAATTACGCCAAGTTAGAATGAAGTTCTAGCTGTGGCAACGTTCTGAGAATTTGCAATTCAATCCCGTCAAATTTACTGCTAAGTTCGTCGCACAAAGGTCGTGTGCTGTATGCAGCTTAGCACGGAATACGGTTTAGCTATAGCGTACGTTGACACACCACTGATTTGAGTGAAAGGTTGTGTGTGAATTGAATAGTCCTAGCCAGCATACAGTGATAGTGTGTTCATATATTATTCGGATGTGTGTGTGTGTGTGTTTGTGTGTGTAAGCCCCATCATCGAATTAGTTTGGCACTGATGGGGAGTAAACAGCATATTCTCACAAGAGGATACTGCCATCATGCAATATCCTCTTTTGGCTACTGAACTATGATATTAAAATACAAACTATTTACGTTCTATTGAACTCTCGTCTGTATAATTTAGATTTTTATTTTTTATTTTTTTTAGTGCTTATATGGGTGGACGAGCTCACAGCCCACCTAGTGTTAAGTGGTTACTGGAGCCCTTAGACATATAACATAAATTCACCACCCCCCGTGAGTATGAGTTCCAAGGTCTCAGAATAGTTGCTACGACTGCCCCACCCTTCCAACCGAAACGTATTACCGCTTCACGGCAGAAATAGACGGGGTGGTGGTAACCTATCCGTGCGGACTCACAAGAGGTCCTACTACCAGTAAATAATGTTGAGTCACGGATTTTCAAATCACGAAACCCTTTAACTTGTATCAATCAAATGGTATTCCAGGTTAGTGTGGGATCTTGGATAAAATCTTTTCAGTATGACGACTAGCAGAATGTTTTAATGTATAGCGCTATGTTAATGTAGAAATGATTATGTGATGAAAGAGAAGTCGAGGTAGATTGCCAACCAGGTGGACGGACATTGTCAAGGAGGCCACAAACACCAGCGTCCCGGGCGCCATTAAGCAGGCCGAATGCATTGCACATTGGAGGAAGCTGGTGCAAAAACTGGACCAAGGTGGTCACGACCCTCAGTAATGAGGAAGCGATGAAGGAGAGAGTGTACTTACAGATAAAATCCTTGATGGCCTGAGAGCTAGGGTCCAGTTTATCAGTAGGGTTGACCCTGATTTTGCAGTATTTGACGAAGGGCATCTCGGGGAGCCTGCCCCACTCGCCCCCGCCGCTGGTAGAGCAGTGGACATCGATCGAGATGGAGTTCTCGTATGCGCGAATAACGCGTTGGACCTCGTTCTCTTGGTATGCGTCTGTGAAGTCTGCCAGGGAGAAGGTCCCGTCCTGGAAATAAAATTGCGGTTCATTCACTGGAATTTTAATTTTTCGACGAATTTTAATGCTTAGTTGGGTGGAAGAGCTCACAGCCCACCTGGTGCTAAGTGGTTACTGGAGCCCATACACATATACAACGTAAATGCGCCACTCACCTTGAGATTTAAGTTTTTTTTTTTTTTTTTTATGATTGAAAGATTACTGGTGGCCCGGAGGCCTTTCCAGTTTCACCAGGACACGTGGGCGAGCAAAGGCTCAGCCAAGAGAGGTGGGATTTGCTAACAGCTACCCGAGCGCCTCCGAAGGAGACCTAACAGCTCAAGAGTAGCTGCTTCGCGAATGAATCTACTACCGGATCGGAATCGCGACCCGCTGAGAAGATCCGGCGAGAAACTCAGCGAGCTGATTCATGGGTTAGGTTGCACGGCGAACTCTTTGTCGAGTTCGACGAGTACGGTTACCGAGGTCCCTAAGCCTGCTCCTAGTGTTAGAGCTGAAGGCGTCTAATGCAAAGGTTATTGGATCTGATGGATCCGTAAGGACGTGAGATTTAAGTTATAAGGTTTCTAGTATAGTTACAACGGCTGCCCCTTTCAAACCGAAACGCATTATTGCTTCACGGTAGAAATAGGTGGGTGCTGGTACCTACCTGCGCGGATTCACAAGAGGTCCTGCCACCAGTAATTACGCAAATTATAATTTTGCGGGTTTGATTTTTGTTACGCGACGTTATTCCTTCACCGTGGAAGTCAATCGTGAACATTTGTTGAGTACGTATTTCATTAGAAAAATTGGTACCCGCCTGAGATTCGAACACCGGTGCATCGCTCAACACGAATGCACCGGACGTCTTATCTGTTAGGTCACGACGACTTCAACTATTCTCACGTTTGCGCAATTTCACAGATGCCAAACAGTTAATAAGCCATCGTTATTACACGCTTAAACCCAAAGAAAGAATAAAAAGACAAAATAAAATAATTCACACAATTCTCTCATCACTAAATCAACTCATCAGTAAATTATAATAAATTTCCCACTATTGTCTGCGACTTATTGTTTTTCAGTGCGCTATAGCAACTGGCTGATTCATTCAGACTTATACATAGATACATAAACTAGTAATTACGTCTCTTATTATAAAAAAAGGATATGCGCTTGCTCCTGGCGGCAATATTGTTTGATAAGAATACACCGGGCGTGCATCCTTTAAGCCATGGGCTTTTACGTCTTAAGCTTCAGATCGCTTATTCGTTTAATAAACCCAATTACAAAAGTCGGTCAACGGGTGGTCACCTCTTGTGAGTCTGCGTGGGCAGGTACCACCACCCTGCCTATTTCTGCCGTGAAGCAGTAATGCGTTTCGGTTTGAAGGGTAGGGCAGCCGTTGTAACTATAATTGAGACCTTAGAACTTAAATCTCAAAGTGGGTGACGCTTTCCGTTGTAGATGTCTATGGGCTCCAGTAACCACTTCACACCGGGTGGGCTGTGAGCTCGTCCACGCATCTATGCAATAAAAAAAAATAAAAAAGTAGGTGTAAACCCATTTCTAAAGCTTTATTTAAATTGCTTATCCGCTTTTGTAACTTCGAGCTCGTCCAAAGGAATCTTCGTTAATTGAACAAAGTTACGTTTGTTTTCAGTTTTCAGCTTCAGGGAAAGTTGAAAGTTCATAATGTTTCTAACGAATGAAAATGGATGAGAGAAAAACACCTATTTCTCTCTGGAACGATCGATGTAAAACTTTTAGAGCGGAAAATTTTGTATAAGTTTTCTTGAAATTCTTTCATTTACATTTATGTAAATATTTTGAGTTGGTTTTTCGTAATGTTTTAGTGTATATATATGATGATTTTTTTTTACATTAGTATTGGGGTAAGATGCGAGTTTTATTAGCGCGTTATGAAGTACTGGTTGTGCTGACGTAGCTCAACCTCATGTCTCAAAGTGATGAGTGTCATTCATGTTTGATGTCTATGGGCTCTTGAAACGATTTAATTCCACTGTCGTATCGTGAGTTCCTCCGTCCATATATAGTATTAAAGATATAACAATTTGAAGTCGTCGTGGCTAAAGGATAAGACGTCCGGTGCATTCGTATGTAGCGATACAACGGTGATTGAATCCCGCAGGCGGGTACCAATTTTTCTAATGAAATACGTACTTAATAAATGTTCACGATTTACTTCCACGGTGAAGGAATAACATCGTGTAATAAAAATCAATCAGATCAGATAATCCGATCAGATCAAGACGACTTTGGAATCCAGCATCAATGTCGCTATCCACTGCGCGGAGGACAGAAGTGAATGGAAGAACATAGTCCTGACAAAAGTGCTCAGTAAAGGTCACGACCCTCAGAACTGAGGAATACGACGCACGGAGGAGGAATAAAAATCAAACCACTACAATTTGCGTAATTACTGGTGGTAGGACATCTTGTGAGTCTGCACGGGTAGGTACCACCACCCTGCCTGTTTCTCTCGTGAAGCAGTAATGCGTTTCGGGTTGAAGGTTGGGGCAGCCGTTGTGACTACACTGAGACCTTAGAACTCATATCTCAAAGTGGGTGGCGGTATTCACCTTGTAGACGTCTATGGGATCCGGTAATCTATGCAATCTTCTATCTTCTATTTATATAAAAATGAATTGCTGTTCGTTAGTCTCGCTAAAACTCGAGAGCGGCTGGAACGATTTGGCTAATTTTGGTCTTAAATCATTTGTGGAAGTCCAGAGAAGGTTTAAAAAGTAGATAATGCTCGGAATTAAAGAAAATTAACAATTTGCTTCTTTTAAGTTTATTTTATACAAAAGCTTAGGTTTTTTATTTATCGATTGAGGCACTACCAAGTCTGCCGGGTCAGCTAGTAAAAAATAAAAAACGAGGACTGTTTCAAAATTATAAAATAATGGATATTAAGGAAAACGCCAATAATAACAGTGATTAATCATGAACGGACAAAATATACAGAACTTATAAAATTTCATTTTGAAATTTCCAGAATGATCGCTGTGTACACAGGCTCTGAAAACGTAACGACGTAAGGAACACTTTTAAGAAATCAGACTTTAATTACACTCTTAAAACATCCAATTCACCTAAATCTAAATGACCAAAGTGAAGTTCGTTCCCGAGAGATTAAGGGATATCTCGTGCAATTATCTTGTTTCGTGCCTTATCTAACGCGAAGGACTTCGCAAATTGTTCTTTTGTTTCGAAGCTGAAGTGCCATGGATTTATCTTCGTTTAAGTACAACTTGAATTTCATTTATTAAAAAGAGATAAAGAGAGAAAGAGAGAGAGAGCATATGCTTTATTGCGCACCGAAACACAATGAATATTGAAAAACAGTCAAAAAGTAGGTATATTTTTATATGAAGTGTTGACCGCGGTAACACCCTTACTCCGCCCGGGTTCTGAACTTTTTTATTTTTTTTATTGCTTATATGGGTGGACGAGCTCACACATCCAACCTGGTGTTAAGTGGTTGCTGGAGCTCATAGACATCTACAACGTAAATGCGCCACCCACCTTGAGATATAAGTTCTAAGGTCTCAAGTATAGTTACAACGGCTACCCCACCCTTCAAACCGAAACGCATTACTGCTTCACGGCAGAAATAAGCAGGGTGGTGGTACCTACCCGCGCGGACTCACAAGAGGTCCTACCACCAGTATAGCTACATGACTGTCTTGACAATAAGAGACAACTATCCCTTTTAAGCCTTGTCCGCCAACAAGCATACGCTTCAAAATTTTAGCTTGTCGTATCGGATAGTTCTGCCAATAGCTTATTACGGCAAAAGTCTGACGGAGATGGACGCGAATGTAGGCGATTCCACATTATCTCAATGCGATTATATTGGCTACTTAACGCCATTTAGGTTCATGATTGTTCATTTTTACAAACAACCTCAAACAACCTTAACTATATACAGAAATTAGTCAAAACATGGCGATGGTTGTTTCTAATGTCCACGTTCGAGCTCCAGCATTAACAGAAGATGGTGTTGCGTCAACTCACTTGCATGATCCAGGAGCCGTTTCCGGCGAAGGTGTATCCAGCGTGCACGAGGTGCCTGTGCCTCGTGAACGAGCTGAGCAGGTTCCGCATGCACTGCATCAGCGTGTTCATCTGCGGGTGGATCAGGATCTCCGTCACCAGGTTCTCCGAGGCGAACTGGATCAGCCTCTCTCCTGGAATTAATAAAGGCATTAGCATTCGCTTCGAGAAAATCCTCATACTCGTATAATTATTATAGTCAGTAGCACTTTTTTTCCTACCTAAGCTGATAGCCTTGAGAGACTATTTCAGCGTAGCCTTAGCTAGTAGGAGAGCTCACGGGGTTCAAACCGGAGTGATGCTAACACTGACCCTAGCAAGAGCAGTGCTTCGCAGAATCTACCACTGGATCGGAAACGCGACCCACTGAGAAGATCCGGCGCGAAAACTTAGTGGGCTGTGTCTATGGGTTAATTCGCTCGTCGAGCCCTTCATCGCAAGCGACAGTTCGACGAGGATGGTGACCGGTGCTTGTGGTACTTAAAAGCACCGTTAATGGATGGAGAGGATCCGTAATGACGTATTTGTTCACTACGTTCAGGGTGACAGAGGGGACGTGGGAAAGCAGCGGCCTAAGATTCGCATTTGTCGACCAGTGGGGTGACACGCGTCATTTTTGTTAATATAATGTAATTTACAAGTAGTAAAATAAAAGCTTTTTAAAATAGTTGTCATGCGTGGTTTCTTCTTCACCATCGTCATGAACAGACAATGGTAGTAGTATAATATATATGTTCTGTTGCCTTTTTGATCTATAATTGATATAATAAGTACTTATTTTTGTTGAACAATATTGGGACTAGCCATAATAAAAAAAGCTCTTAATCAAATTAGTCTTAACGGATACTTTCGATTTACTTATTGAAGTGAAAACTTCATTAGAATCGTTGTGATTTCAAACCGGATGCAACGGAAAAAACGACAGGTAAGAGACACAAATACAAAAATGTGTAGGATGAAGCCAGCAAAGAATGAGACAGAAATATACATACTATTTAATACAGCGCCATCTGTGAGATTTTTTAATACTAACGTGTGTATGAAAGCTCTTGTAGAGAATTTTAATTTAGGATTATACGTGAAATTAAAATATCAATTCACAGAGGGCGCTACCTTACAATTATTTACTAATGACAAAATTTTACATATACTTAAGACGTTTAGGATAATTGTATTTTAATTTTGGAAGGTTTCACTTCTATCACGTGTGAATTGCACACATTTTGTTTTGTTATTTTTGGGTAGATTGTTGAACCACCAGTAATAATTACGTAGGTGTTAAGCCGCCCTAACCAAAACTCAATCCACGAAACTCCAAGCATTCTTCTCCAGCACCACATCTCATTTACTTTATTTTATTTCACCGCACTTCATCTTTTCTCTTTCATTAAGTTTATCTCGGTGTAATTCATATTGAATAATGCATTCAGATGGCGTTCTGGATGCAGTTAGTTGTTCAATTGTCATCCCATTTCCTATTCACGGTGCTATTCAAAAACCCGACATTCAACAATTCGTAGGCATTCTATTCAATTCTATTGAGAGCTGAGTTTCTGCGCGATATCGTTTCATGCCAGGAATGAATTAAAGCCCATTGTGGGACTTAAAGTTTAGTTTCAGTGGGCTTTTGTTTGTGCGAAACACTTATTCGAAAGTTTGTATTGCGCTTTCTGTAAAACAAACTTTCGTGTTTTTACTGTACAGTACATACATAAATACAGTGAGAATATTCGTGCTTTAACAACGCTGGGTGCTTTGTGAAATATAAGAAAATATATTAATACGCGAAGCAAAAACTTTGGATCCCTTTTTACGAAAATTGCGCGGACGGAGGAGTATGAGATTTTCCACACTTATAGAGAATATAGAGAAGGAGTGCAGGATGCTAATATTTTTTTAATTATGCCTAAAAATACATTAAATCAATAAAAAAACATTACATGTATTTGACGCACACACGCATGTATACTATTTATTTATTGTCAAACTTTTGTTCTTGACGTCTGTTGTCAAATTGAGAATATATTAAATATTGTTTGTCTTTATTATTATTTTTCTATAATGTAGTCTTGGCGAAATTTGTGATTATAGAAGTATAATAGTCTTTGAAAATATAATAGAATCTTAATAGTGTACAAACTTATAATTACAGTTAATTATAGCCGAATTTCGACTACCGGGCGACCACTAGTATAAGAAACGATTTAATGTTAATTTCTTTCAGTACATATTCAGTTAAAATTTAATTTAACCTAAACTAACCTAAATTAACCTAGTTAACCTAAATTACGAAGAAGTTAAAAGAAAGTTAATAAAAGAACTGCTTAATTGGTCCTACTCTTTTTCGGAGGACTTTCTGAAATGCATTAAGTAACCCTAAACACGTACTTATGGTAAAAATCATTACACCTGTTCCTTTTCTTTTTATATATATGTGTATGTGTATGTATATATATGTATATGTGTGCGTGTATATATATATGTATAATATTTCGCTTAACTATTTTGATTTACTTGTATATTCAGCACCGTTATTACTAGTTTTAAGATACTCCTGTAAAAAAACTCTCCACGAGACAGGCAGTGCCTAGTGTGGAGAGTTTTTAGCAAACTGTTATGTGTAAATGTTTCAAGGTTAATAAATAAATTATTATTATTATTATTATAATTTTGATTGTCTAATTAAAAAATTCCGTGAATTAATTTACGAAGAGGCAGATCGCGAGGCATCGTTGTCAAAAATATTAGAATAATCTACCGAAAAAAAAACCATCGTCAATTAATCTTCCCTTCAATATTGGGGAGCAAATTGAGGCTATTCATTCGTGAACACGCGTTCAGTATGCGATATCGTAAACAAAGGAATATTGATTGGGAATTAATTGAACATTTTTATGATTCCGTAGCGTTCCTTCTGCATGTCATTTTATTTAGAAAATATAGATACATGGAATTCGATAGGTTGGATTCCATTATTATTATTTTTGGAACGAAGTTCCTAACGGCAGGCTTGGAGGAGATAGGGATTTTGCTGCGCGGCCGAACTGATAAAAATGTGATAGTAAAAACCGTAAGAAGTCCGTGAAATAAGGACTTGTTTTCCGCACAGCGATATTTCACCGCGCGATTTTTTTCAAGTAATTCTTTTTTTTATTTTTTTTTATTTGGAACTTCGTTCCTATCCGGTGTCCCACGACACCACACATCTTTTTTTTATTGCCCTTGTAGGCAGACGAGCATACAGCCCGCCTGATGGTGAGTGGTTGCCGTCGCCCATGGACTTCAGCAATGCCAGGGGCAGAGCCAAGCCGCTGCCTACCAATTACATTATTGGCTGAGCGATAGAATATTCGACCTGAGAATATTTTTTTAGGTATCTTCAGATTATATCCCAATTAATCCGCCGAAAAGTATTCCTTCGAAGCCCAGTTTGAGGGACATATTGGGACTAACGGTGTCCAGAAATGAACCTTGATATTCCTTGATGATGAAAGTCGTACAGGCTTCCTGTACTTCTATGGTCTTTAAGAGCATCCAAATCCATTAGGCGATTTTTGCGTGATTTAGTTCTACTAACGTCAAATTGTTTATTCTTTGGTTACTGGAACGTCCGAATTTTTTATTTTATTTCACGACCTCTTGTGAGTCCGTTCGGGTAGGTACCACCGCCCTGCCTATTTCTGCCGTGAAGAAGTAATGCGTTTCGGCTTGAAGGGTGGGGCAGTCGTTGTCACTATACTTGGGATCTTAGAACTTATATCTAAAGGTGGGTGGCGTATTTACGTCGTAGATGTCTATGGGATCCAGTAACCACTTAACACTAGGTGGGCTGTGAGCTCGTCCACCCATCTAAGCCAAAAAAGTATATTATAACAATACGGTGGAAGGGGTCTACCACCATCATTACATTGTCTGTTTCTAAAAAGCCATCAGGCATGTCTGTTCAAGGACTTATAATCATAGGAGCCAGCAGTAAAATGTAATTGACAAGATATCCTCAAATCTACTACTATTAGACGGGCTGTGGCTTAGAACTTGCTGGTAAGTTAATTTGACCCTTATTACCTACCCCAGTACACGAAGATGTCATGCAGTATAAGCCTAAAGGAAAATTTTTCAAAAGAAACTCACGTGAAAAGGAAAGCACCCAAAGGTTGTTTTTCACGCGAAACACAATGGGGAGGCGTTAACAATGGCCAGTTTTCGCCTTTGTAAATGATATAATACAGACGACAGAAGGCTTAGAGGCGACTGTTTAGACAATAGTACAGAAATAGCTTTGAGAAGTATAACGTTTTGTTATGAACAGAAACTTGTAAAATATCGTGGGCTTTAAACTCAACCTAAGCATTGTTTGAAAAGTTATTGTTTAAAAATTTGTTAATGTTTTCTGCTTCCAATTTTAATAATTGATTTAGACTTTCTCCTGTAGTACACTAGTATTAAAATTGAAACATAACACTCAAAATATGAAGTCTTAACGATTTAAGCTCGGTGGGAGGTCTAATACGCCTCCCGGTGGACTAACAACAACTCAGACATCTCTGTCGTGCGTAGGCTGTAACTCCAATTTGGTTTAGTGCAGGAAAGAGATGAATATATATCTAAGTTGTCCTAAATCAATACCCGCTGTGACCATGCTTTTACTTCTCCGAACTCAGTTTTACTTTTCTGAGATGGCGCGCAATTTTTAAAACATTCCACCAAACTAAATCTCATTACAAGTGACAATATTTAGAGCCAAAACCTATTCATCAAACACACAAACTCATCAGCCCCTAACTTAAACTTAGACTTAAAGGTGAATAATTGGTAGAATTATTATGTATTTTTTTATTTATTGCATAGATGGGTGGACGAGCTTACAGCCTACCCGGTGTTAAGTGGTTAGCGTAACCCATAGACATGTACAACGTAAATGCGCCACCCACCTTGAAATAATTATAAGTTATAAGGTTTCATTATAGTTACAACGGCTGCCCCACCCTTCAAACCGAAACGCATTACTGCTTCACGGCAGAGATAGGCAGGGTGGTGGTACCTACCCGTGTGGACTCATAAGAGGTCTCACCATCAGTAAAAAGTGATTTAAAATATCAACATATTACAAAAATACAATTTAACGTTAAACTTG